CACTGTTAAAAGTACTCTTTAAATATTTACATACCTTGAAAACTCTGTTAAGATCACCTTGAGACTGGTACAGTTTAACAGCACATAACAGTGTACTTGCAGAAATTCTGTAGGCCCAGGATTTCACCTGTGCTAGGCTTGAGTTCACCCAGCTCTATCTTATTTTGCAGTTATATGTATGTAAAATAACAACTGCTTGATTAAAAAAATCTTTTAAACTTCACATACCTGGAAACCTTATTAGAGTTGCTTTAAGTTAGAACTGACTTGAGAGATTGGTTCTCTTTTTGTCTAGGGCAGCAAGGAAATCTTGTGGGACTGCAGGTCCCATTGTTCCTAATTGTTGGCTGTGCTAGCTAAGACAGATGGGATCTGTAATCTAACATTGTCTTGTCCCTGTTCTACATATATGCTTAATACTCTAAAATGTGGCCTTTAAGTCAGTGGTCCCCAACCTTGGAACTGACTTGAGAGATTGGTTCTCTTTTTGTCTAGGGCAGCAAGGAAATCTTGTGGGACTGCAGGTCCCATTGTTCCTAATTGTTGGCTGTGCTAGCTAAGACAGATGGGATCTGTAATCTAACATTGTCTTGTCCCTGTTCTACATATATGCTTAATACTCTAAAATGTGGCCTTTAAGTCAGTGGTCCCCAACCTTGGGCCTCCAGATGTTCTTGGACTGGACTGCGTTGAATAGTATTTGAATTTTGCATTGTCGTCAAAGCCTGGATTCACTTAACTTTTTTACAAGAACAGTTAATTGGGGGCTAAATTCAGTTGCTATTCCCAGCCAGGGGACTTACATGCATATTGATGTTAAGTTCCCTTTATTAAACATGTGTAAGAGAGGCAAACAGTTGGATTTAGCCCTATGCATTTGGGATATCTTAGTGTGTTTAAATGTTTGGATTACCAGTTTTAAGCTACAGTATTTATTATCAGAGTTGACCTGTTGGAATGATAAGAGTCAATACATTGTATCCTTGGAATCAAATACAGTGGTGCCCCGCATAGCGACGATAGTCCGTTCCGAAAAAATCATCACTATGTGGATTCATCGCTATGCGGGGCAAAAAAGCCCATAGGAACGCATTAAAACACGTTTAATGCATTCCTATAGGCAAAAAACTCACCATTCTGCGAAAATCCTCCATGCGGCTGCCATTTTCACTGTCCGGCAAGTGAGGAAAGGGCACGAAAACACTGCCATTTTCTTTACCCGGCCGCCATTTTGGAACCGCTGATCAGCTGTTCTTAAAACATCACTATGCGAAAATCGGTAAGCTAAACGCTTACCGATCATCGCAAAGCAATGTTTTATCAACTAAAACATTGTTATGCAATTGCTTTTGCAATCGCAAAAAACACATCGCTATGCAGATTCATCGTTAAACGAATCGCTCGTTATGCGGGGCACCACTGTATTCTTTTGATTTCCAGTTGATGGTGTGTCTGGTAAGTTGTATATTCCTTCACATTTTGGTTACATTTACAGACAGCTGTGTAAGTAAGACATGTACTATTGGTACAGGGTGGCATGATAAGTTAGGTTTCACTATAAAATTTTCTCTGTCATTAAGAAGACTGCCAGTGAATGTAAGTTTCTCATCTAGGAACTTGCCTGTGTGTTTGCATCCCCCCCCTTGTATCATTGTAACATTGAATATACTAAAGTTTTGATTTCAATTTTTGCAGTCAACTTTGAGGCCATTCTCATCACCATAGGTGTGGTAGCAGGTGTTCTTCTACTTCTTATAATATGCTGCTGCTGCTACTGCTGCAGAAGACGTAATCCTAGCAGGTAAAAAATATTTCATAGTACCTTTAATATTTTTTTCTGACTTCAATTCCTTTAATAATACTGTACTTAAAATTAAGGTTTAAACCAATTGTACTTCTTAAACACATGATTGAAAATGATGCCCTATAGTGCCAAGCTCTTTCTATTTACAAAAAAAGGATATGGGATCTCAGTCAGGATTGAGAGTTTAATTGCTTTCGACTCAACTGTATTCTTCATTCTTTATCATCTCTTCAATTTATATCCGTCCCAATTTAAAAAACACATTGAAATCAGGGCAATTAGAAACTTTCAGTAGAATTTTCATTTAGAAAACAGTGCTAGGGTTGAATTTGAAATCTTCTTCATGTAAAGTATGGATTTTGTCACTGAGCTGCTATCTGTTCCAAAAAATGGTTTCAGAATGCATTTAAAAGTCCTTAAACATAGCTACATTCTAGGCTAGAGTAACCTGTTAATGAAAATTACATAGGTTGGCTGAGACCTGGGATTGAATCCAGACTGACTGTGAGATCTGTAATTACAAAGATTGGATCCAGGATGGAGATGGGGGTATTTGTATATGTATATGAATATCCATGCACAGCTGGAGTTAATGAGGGTCAGGCCCCTGGGGCTGGACCATCCACTCACGTATGCAGCGGTGGCGGCCTTACTCATCCTTCCAATCACTCCTAGAGCCCTGCTCTCTTCCTGCTCGGCTAGTGACTCGGCAGCCGTGCACGGAGACTTTTCCGCCCTCCCATTACCAGGAGTGGCTAACCAAGCAGGAAGAGAGCATGGCTCTGCGAATGATTGGAAGGATGAGCGAGGCCGCTGACGGACACGTGAGTGGATGGTCCCACCCAGAGGCCAGAACCTCATTAAATCCAGCTGCAAGGGGACATTCGTATACAAATACCTCCCATCTGTAATCCAGAGCTAGGAATACATCAGTTAAAATCAGTGGAGCTTCAGTTAGTCATGATTGACTTAGGCATCACAGAGTTTTTCATTGGGTCTATCCTAAGTATGACTGCATCTGGATCCAACCCAGTGTTTTTGCATGCCATGTGAGGAAAAACTATGAGAAAGCAAAATTATTCAATTTTCTCTGAAATGGTACAGAGCAGCATGAGTAACATCTGGCATTCCAGATGATCCTGGACTGAAGCTCCCATCATGGGTCACTATTTCCTTTGTTGGTGACAGTTGGAGGAGTTCCAGCGTCACAGCATTAGGAATACGACAAATTACACACCCCAGGAAAAATCTTGCAACACTTTCACCTCAGTTTTGTTTTACACTTCCACTGATAATTCTGGAATTTAGATTCAGGCACATGGTCCACTTTCACATTGTCTGGAAGCCTGTTGATTTAACTATGTGGGCATAAATGGCTATTATGTCATCAGTCCACAAAGTTATTTTTAAAATACAATTGAATTTAAAGTTTTATATCTCTCCTCCCCCGCCCCCCAATTATGAGGCTACCTAGTGATTCCTTTTCACCTTTGAGGGCCTTGGGAAGTTTTTAATATCTGAAAACCACTTTCAGCTGTCCCAATCCCAGTGGTAGTGATCGGATGGTGATTTTTGGATATTAAATACTCCCATTAATATTTTAAAAATATTATTCTGTCTGTTGATAGGACAATAAGAACCATTCACAAGATCTAAGTAGTAACATAAGTAAGCATAGGAGTTCATGCTAGTGGTTTGAATCCAGAAGAGCTGTCTGCTATTTTCATTAATAACAAATTTTATATTTTGCTATAGTGAACTGTTGCACCTGCATGGAAGGCAAGCTGAGAGGTTGTGCTCTGATGCATGACAGCTCTAGTTTTAAAATAATAGCTAATGTTTACTTAGAGTTTGCCAAATAGCATTCCAATAGGAAGTGGCACCACATGGTGTGCAGTCTCCCTGTGAACTATGCCCTTTCTTTTTCTTTGCTCCTGTTGTGTGCAAAACACATTGATGTGTTACATATTGAACTTTATAAATCTCCTTACTGAGAGGTACAAGGGATTCTGTCCTTTTTTAAATCTCTGCATGAAATACACAGTTGTTTTTTGCCTTTGGCTGCTCTCCTGTATGATTGTGGCTTGCTAGACAGTAAGACAGCCCACTGAAAGTACAGAAAACTTTTTATATTCTTGAGATAAGAAATGTGATGTGTCTTTTCCTAGTTGTGATATATCCAGGTAGGGGTTAATCTAAGTATTTCTCTTTGAGACTGGTGAGTTTCAATTTAATGTCATTATTTGCACAATACTTTATTAGATTGTGGCAATAAATAGGAAATCAGATCCTGATACTTAAAAGTCTAGAGTATGGTTGAATCAAATAAGTCTGAATGTCTGATTGTATAATTGAATTGTATTTATTAGAGGTGTGTAGATTTGTTCTTCTGTATTACAACTCCCAGAAATCTCCAGGCAACATATTCAGTGTCCATGCTGGTTGAAGAGTTCTAGGAGGAGTTGTCCAAAACCTAAAATTTGCACATCTGTCATAATTATAGTATTTGAATTAAATGGTAGAATGCTGAATATATTTATTCACCTGCATTCACAGGTGCTAGCCACTGCTTTTTACTGCATAGAAAATATGCAAATACAGGTATTAATGTATTTCAGCATGGAAACATTAACAAATTTCAGTATAATTCTGTTAAGGAACTCTTTAATTACATTCTTTACTATACCACAAGATGCCCCCCAAAGTGCCATACAATCAACATTCATCCGAGTTATAGCTACTCAGTGCGTTTTGTGCAATTTAACAACCTGTCATTGACTTGGGTCCGCGATACAATATGTCCACTTTCAGGCAGGAGCTCTTGGGAATTGTGTCAAGGAGATGATATTTTCCTTTTGTTTAAGTAAATGCCATAAATACTCCTGAGAAGCTTACTTGGCACATATGTCAAACATAATTTTGTTGGAAGATGCTGATTACACACACTTTCAGACCCTGGTGATATGAATCTTATAAAGTTCAGTTTTGTTGGTTTAAAGCTGAAGTGGTTCAACTTAAAAGGGAGTAAGTTAAGAAAATATGCTTTACATGTGTACATAGAGTCCTTTATAAGGTGGCTTTTGCCGTAAGATTCATGAGGGTAAGATCAGCAATATATTTAGAGCTTTCAAAGGAATGAGATGCCTGTTATTTATCTGAGTCCAGTAATGCACTTGCTTTTGGAAAAAAAAGTTAAGAGTTTTTGCACACCTTTTTGATGGCTAACAGTAGCTTCTTGTGATGGAACATCAATCTTCTGAGTCTTGTTGAGGAGGCTGATGTTTTTCTTGAAGATTTCAGTCAGTATCCATGCACAACTAGATAAGAAATTCATATGAAGTCTTTTTCTCTTACTTTTAACTTCACATGGAAAATGTTGTTAAATTTGGATTTAAAAGAAAGTGGATCACAAAATATATTAATTCTAGCATCATCTACATAACATACCCTTCACACGTAACAGGTTTTAAATGTATACCAAAGCCAGTTTCCTCAAAACATAGAAGTGTGCACTTGGTGGATGGCATGAAACCTGTCCTTCTCCTTCGGTTATGTTATTGCATCTTGTACCATTAAAGAATATTATTGATTCAATCTGTGATCAATTAAGAAACTGCTACAGAGCAAAGGCTACAGAGGACAGCCAGCTGGTCTTGTCAAGCTGTGTTCTGTGCTGGTCAGTAGAGGAATGGTTTGTGAACAAGGAAGCCTACTTTCCATTTTGTATGTGAATTGGGTAAACCCGTGTTTAACATTTTGAGGTTTGTGTTTTAGCCTTGAAAGTAAATAACAAATGGAGGAAATATCCAACCAAAGTTCAATATAAACTCAGTGGCAAAGCTAGGTTTCTCAAATATATTTGTCACTTCTGTTTCAACCCATTAAAGGTAATTTCATGATACCTGGTCTGGTTCTTCTGTAACATCTATATCATGTCATGTCCACTGGATGTCACTGTTTTTTTTTTCCTCCTTGAAATATTTCTACAGGCTTTTCAGTTTTACAGGGTAAATTGGTTTGATAAATCAATTATAATTATTCTGTTCAATTGAAAGAACCCAAATGTTTCAGAACTGTTTGTCTGGTCCATATTTTGTACTCTTCTGTGTGAATTTAACTAAGATTAAATATTCTGTTGTCTTGGTCAGTAACAGAAAGGTAACCAGTAACAGAAAGGTAACCAGTCCTATATTATTAATTCATTCTTTTTTATGCCTTCTATACAGAAAGTAAAGCAAAATTCATAAAAACACATCCTATAATATAAAGAACAGGAAAAAAATCAAAAACAGGCAGCAAGAAACTCAGTTGGCGAAGAAGAACCCTTCCTCCTCCTCCACACATTGACTCAGTAGAGGAGAACCTCCCCAAGGGCTTCCTTGATGAGCTCTATTTTTGTTCTATGGAGGGAGGGCACCTAGTGTAATTTCTGTGGCAGTCCGTTCCACAAGAAAGGTGCCATAGCACAGAAGGCCCAGCTTCTGGTTGTTGTTTTCTGGGCCTCACAAGGTGTTAATATTCATAGGCACATGGTATAAAGAGATCTATATTATGCTCTCCTTCTGTAATCAGATGTCCTCAAGGTATTTTAGACTCCCGTCAGCCCTGCTACCATAGCTAGTGGTCAGGGGTTATAGTCCAAACTCCTTGGAGAACCTAAAGATACAGTGGTGCCTTGCTTAACGATTACCTTGTTAAACGACGGATCTGCTTTACGATGAGGTTTTTGTGATCGCAGTTCGCTTGACGATTATCAGTTCCCTGCTTTGGGAACTGATGTTTCGCTAGACAATGATTCTAAAACAGCTGATCGGCAGCTCTAAAATGGCCGCCCGCTGTGCAAACTGGCTCCCCGCTGAGCTTTAGGATGGATTCCTCGCTTTACAGGCACCAGAAAATGGCCGCCCTATGGAGGATCTTCGCAAAAGGAGCAGGTATTTCCCCCATTGGAATGCATTGAATGGTTTTTAATGCATTTCAATGGTTTTTTGAAATTCACTTGACAACGATTTTGCTTAACAGCGATTTTAATGGAACAGATTATTGTCATCGAGCGAGGCACCACTGTACGTAGGTTATCTGGGGGTTTTTTATAGTGTGAGTGAAAGAAGTCCACATTTTATGTAGAATCTCAAAAACTTTATTTATTTATATCCCACCTGTCTGGCCTTGCGACCACTGTAGTGGTCCTCCTAGTAATGCTCTGTTCTACAAGATAATATAAAGATTAATCAGTATAGTAGAATGAATTATGACTTTTAACAGGATTTGTTAATACTGGTATCGTATATAAGGCAGTAGAAAATAATATTTATAATTAACTGATTAGAGAATTTAAAATGCTATAAATTTGAGTGTATCGATAAAAAATTCTGATACAATTCCAAATACCTGCTAGAGACTTTTTAAACTGTTATGATTGAAAGCCCTTTACGCAAATATATCAGGCATTCCACTACTTCAGCTTAAAAAAAGTGTTTGCTTTTTCTTAGGAGACTAGCTGAAGAAGAAGAAAGATTTATCAAAGATCGGGAAGAAAAAAGAATGCAGTCCCTTCAGCGGTATGTGTAAACACTTTGATTGTGTTATTGTACTCATAGCTTGTGGAGACAAGTTACAGTATGTAGATAACTGGAGGCTTGCACTGTGGTTATACAGTAAATACAGCTCATACTGGTTTTTAACCCCTAAATCTAGGTAGAGACTTGCCCTGAAAATACTGATCTAGGATTTGGGGACCAATTTCTTGATGTAGCAGGCTTCTCCTGGACATGGAGCATAAAAGATGCAGCAATACTAAACAGCTGCAGATAGCAAAGTGTTGTATCCTGGTACTGCTCCATTTTGCTATTGGCATCTATGCTGGGTCTCTGAAGCTGGAATCCAATTCTGCTACACATTGGTAGTTGTAATGTTTTTCATAAAACATAGCATAAGCAAATCCTGTTTTGCATATTTTATTGTTTAATTATACTTTTTACCAGGTGGTGCTTGAAGTCACAATTTTATAAAGCATGGTAAAGATATTAAATTAATAAAAATACAGAGCCAACCCCAATTTGAAAGGTAATCTGTTAGGAAAGTGTCACAGGAGGTTCCTTTCAGAACAGACTTGGTTGGCTGGTGGTTTCAGCAATACTAACTTTTTGACTCCCTCCCTAGTGCCTAACACAAGGAAGGGGGATCCTAAACTTAATTTTGTCCAACTTCCCGGTACTTGCAAAGTTTCCTGACCGTTGTGATGGTCCATAAAAGTTGCTTAAGTTCCAGGCTGTTGTCCAGGGGATTAAATGAGGAAATGGAAGGTCGGCGGGGGGGGAGGGAGTTAAAAAGCTGTAGCAATCATAGGGGCTTTGCTTCTATGGAAAATTCATGTGATGGTCTTACTGCTTTTTTTATATCTACTTTCTCATGGATTGTAATGCATAATGCATTTTTTTCCAGTCTGTGGGCCACTGTTTTGTTGTCCATATTTCTTGGCATATTCTTGGTAGGACTTTGAATTGACCAATTTCTGTAATTTGAAATGGCTCTTTGATATTCCTAGTGATTTACTTGTCCCTATGTGCAATTGAAGTATTGCATTAAAGTGTCTGAGCCCATTTTTGTCATTTTTTATTTTTTGCTTCTTGTCTGTCATTAACTATTATAAGAGTGTTATCATCAGTCATCTGTTGAGGCTTTTCTTTTGACTACAACAATAGTCTTTTTCATTTCTTCCTGATAATGTCTTTGGTTTCAGTGCACTATCCGTGTGGTTCATGGTAAACTGAGCTTAATAAAGCAAGCCTTTTCTTTGTATGAACTTTAAATTCTTCATGAATGATACTAAAATTATATTTTTCCACTATGATTGTTTTAGTGTTTTCTACAGCTTTACAATAGAACCCCCATATCTGCAGAGAATTGATTCTAAGCCCCCCTGCAGGTCCTGAAAACCATGGATAGTAGCAAACACCCCCACCTCCCATCTTTGATTCAGATCCAGATCACGAGAGGTGGCCTGGGCCAACCCGATCTCCCTCCCACAGCTGCAGCAGATGAAGGAGCTGAGCCACCAGGGGTGGGGACTGGGAGGGACAAGAGCAGCCCTTTCTGGCTCTACTTTCTCATGAGATGCTGTGGCCTGCAAGCAGCCCCAAGGCAGTGGTGGTTGAGTGATCCTGCCTGCCTGAGATTGAAGGCCCAGGTGAGTGGGATGGAAGTGGAGCGTGGGAAGGAGGACCACCCACACGGGAAGGGAAGGCAGACCCAGGAGGAAATGGCCACTGCCCTCACAAATGGTGGCTCAGGCCAGCCCCACACCTCTCACCTACCTCCCACAGCGAGCGAAGGAGATGAGCCACCAGAATTGGGGAGGAAAGAGGGTTGAAATTGTTTGGGAACTACTGTAGTAAAAGGAGAAAAAGTCCAGACGAGAACAAGAATTCATAGCAGGCTCTCTGGCAAGAAGTCACTCTAGTGGCCAGTTCTGGTAAAACATGTGAATATATATCTATATTTTTAGAATTTCTTTATTTTTAATATTTTTAATACAATACAGTATTTTCATACCGTGGATAAGTGAATCAACAGATATTGATCCAGGGGTCCTACTGTATTCTAACATTTGGTACTACCCCTTCATGGTCTATATCACATAGATTCTTGGTCTTCTGTGCGGAAAGAATACCACATGTCCATTGTCTGCTTCTAGTCATACAGTTTGATTGGCTGTTCACTTGATGCACAATTATCTGTCAGATTGCCTAAACTAAAGCATGTATTTGTGATAAACAAAGTTGTTTGTTCTAAGTTTTTTCTTTCCAGAATAAAACATTTTGTAATCATTTGCTTAAAAATGTCCTATTCCAACCCACTTTAGTTTGTTCTCATCATGTTTAAATATAATACAATTTCAAGCTTGCCTAAATTTATACTTCTTGCATTCTATGTTTGGATTACATATATCATGCAACATTTCTTCCTTTTGCTTCTGGGACACCAGCAACTAGCTGTTATTTTGACTTTAATCCAGTTGCTGTATAAGTAACAGCACTGTTTTTCCTTATATTTTTTACACTGGCTATCAAGAGAAACATTTATTTTGTAGCATGAGAGCTGAGTTCCACTTATTGGTGTGCTTGTGATCCAACAAGTAGGCATACATTGTCAGTACTTGTTTTGCATTTTGTTTAGAGTTTGGTTTTTAAACTTTTGTTACTATGTTTGTAACTTTTACAGAAAACATGAAAGAAAAGCCAAGCACGATGAGATACGCAAGAAATATGGTATGTATAATTCAATAATTTGCATTTGAAGTTTTCATTTCAACATCTAGCCCAAGTAGCTGTTTTCTAATATGGGCTGCATGGAAATCCAGCAAACACTATATTGGTGGTTGTACATCTTAATCAGCTTGGTTTATATGGTTGCCATTCTACAGCATATCTGAAAGTGTGAGGTCAAAGCAGCTTCCCCACTTCACCAGGCTAGCTACTTGTCAAATGACAATATTATTAAGGTGTCTCTCTGCACTGTGGGTAGAGAAGCACCAGAAGGTTCTGGAGCCATTTTTCAGTCCTAGGATACTCTGGTAGCTGCAGTAATCCCTCCAAATAATGGAACATTTCTATTTAAAAAATACAGAAGTGTTCAGAGTTATTTGGTAAAATAAAGTAGGAGTGGACTCATGCCTTGGTTTTAGAAGAACATCTCTGCACCTCATTGGCACATTGGTTAAACTACTGTACCACAGCCAAAACTTTCCTCATGGCCCGGGGTTCAGTCTCAGGAGCTGGCTGAAGGTTGACTCAGCCTTCCATCCTTCTGAGGTCGATAAAATGAGTACCCACCTATCTGGGGGTGCAATCTGTCTCCTGCATAATTAACTTGTAAACAGCCCAGAGTATGTGGTATGTAAGCAGAACACTTTTCTTTTTAATGTGTGTTCCTCCTTTTTAAAGTAAAAGCTTCTTTTGTTGGAGTTTTCCCTTAGGGGGCTTCAGGTTCCACAAATATAACTGGAAAGGTACATGTTAAGTCTTACATAACTCCTCTTCCTGGCTTCTTTAATTTCATAAGAAATTACCATACATTTGTCTCCACCTTGGCTAACACGGGTTGAAGACTTAATAATTTTTTAATGAAGGATGAGCTATCAGATACTAACTGGATTGTATCCCCCAGTGCTCCTCTGCTTTATACAGTATGAGAAAGTGTCACAGGAGGTTCCTTTCAGAACAGACTTGGTTGGCTGGTGGTTTCAGCAATACTAACTTTTTTACTCCCTCCCTAGTGCCTAACACAAGGAAGGGGGATCCTAAACTTAATTTTGTCCAACTTCCCGGTACTTGCAAAGAATCCTGACCGTTGTGATGGTCCATAAAATTTGCTTAAGATCCTGGCTGTTGTCCAAGCAAAGAGCTACTGCCCTGACAGCTCTTCAGTGGAAGTGGGATAGTACAGGAAGGCAACTCTGGATCTGGCAGAACTAACAAAGAAGAGGATGAAATGGGGAAATGGAAGGTGGGCGGCGGGGGGGGAGTTAAAAAGCTGTAGCAATCATAGGGGCTTTGCTTCTATGGAAAATTAATGTGATGGTCTTACTTCTTTTTTTATATCTACTTTCTCTTGGATTAAAGGAGAAAAAGTCCAGACGAGAACAAGAATTCATAGCAGGCTCTCTGGCAAGAAGTCACTCTAGTGGCCAGTTCTGGTAAAACATGTGAATATATATCTATATTTTTAGAATTTCTTTATTTTTAATATTTTTAATACAATACAGTATTTTCATACCGTGGATAAGTGAATCAACAGATATTGATCCAGGGGTCCTACTGTATTCTAACATTTGGTACTACCCCTTCATGGTCTATATCACATAGATTCTTGGTCTTCTGTGCGGAAAGAATACCACATGTCCATTGTCTGCTTCTAGTCATACAGTTTGATTGGCTGTTCACTTGATGCACAATTATCTGTCAGATTGCCTAAACTAAAGCATGTATTTGTGATAAACAAAGTTGTTTGTTCTAAGTTTTTTCTTTCCAGAATAAAACATTTTGTAATCATTTGGTTAAAAATGTCCTATTCCAACCCACTTTAGTTTGTTCTCATCATGTTTAAATATAATACAATTTCAAGCTTGCCTAAATTTATACTTCTTGCATTCTATGTTTGGATTACATATATCATGCAACATTTCTTCCTTTTGCTTCTGGGACACCAGCAACTAGCTGTTATTTTGACTTTAATCCAGTTGCTGTATAAGTAACAGCACTGTTTTTCCTTATATTTTTTACACTGGCTATCAAGAGAAACATTTATTTTGTAGCATGAGAGCTGAGTTCCACTTATTGGTGTGCTTGTGATCCAACAAGTAGGCATACATTGTCAGTACTTGTTTTGCATTTTGTTTAGAGTTTGGTTTTTAAACTTTTGTTACTATGTTTGTAACTTTTACAGAAAACATGAAAGAAAAGCCAAGCACGATGAGATACGCAAGAAATATGGTATGTATAATTCAATAATTTGCATTTGAAGTTTTCATTTCAACATCTAGCCCAAGTAGCTGTTTTCTAATATGGGCTGCATGGAAATCCAGCAAACACTATATTGGTGGTTGTACATCTTAATCAGCTTGGTTTATATGGTTGCCATTCTACAGCATATCTGAAAGTGTGAGGTCAAAGCAGCTTCACCAGGGTAGCTACTTGTCAAATGACAATATCATTAAGGTGTCTCTCTGCACTGTGGGTAGAGAAGCGCCACAAGGTTCTGGAGCCATTTTTCAGTCCTAGGATACTCTGGTAGCTGCAGTAATCCCTCCAAATAATGGAACATTTCTATTTAAAAAATACAGAAGTGTTCAGAGTTATTTGGTAAAATAAAGTAGGAGTGGACTCATGCCTTGGTTTTAGAAGAACATCTCTGCACCTCATTGGCACATTGGTTAAACTACTGTACCACAGCCAAAACTTTCCTCATGGCCCGGGGTTCAGTCTCAGGAGCTGGCTGAAGGTTGACTCAGCCTTCCATCCTTCTGAGGTCGATAAAATGAGTAGCCATCTATCTGGGGTTGCAATGTGTCTCCTGCGTAATTAACTTATAAACAGCCCAGAGTATGTGGTATGTAAGCAGAACACTTTTCTTTTTAATGTGTGTTCCTCCTTTTTAAAGTAAAAGCTTCTTTTGTTGGAGTTTTCCCTTAGGGGGCTTCAGGTTCCACAAATATAACTGGAAAGGTACATGTTAAGTCTTACATAACTCCTCTTCCTGGCTTCTTTAATTTCATAAGAAATTACCATACATTTGTCTCCACCTTGGCTAACACGGGTTGAAGACTTAATAATTTTTTAATGAAGGATGAGCTATCAGATACTAACTGGATTGTATCCCCCAGTGCTCCTCTGCTTTATACAGTATGAATACACAGCAGTTAGATTAGAAATGGAAGCAACGTATTTTAAAACTTTAAATAATACACATTTAATTGAGATACTTTGTCAAAATTAACAGTAAAGTGCTACTAATTTTCAAATTACTTTAAATATAAGACCAAGGTCACTGTTCCTTCTGCTATGTGTTTAACAGGATATCTTTGTTGAATATCTGTCTGGCTAGTACATCATTTCAAATCACATTTAATGATGATTTAGTACTTGAAAAATTCAGAGCACTAGACTGTATTGTTTTTGGTAGTTTGGCAGAGTAGATTCCCCCTTAAAACAGAGGAAGGTTAATGAAAAAGAGTGGCAAATGGATTAACTCATTGCTAAATTAAAATGATCATATCTGAAATGTCAGCCCAAATCCATTACTTGTTTGTTCTTAAAGAAATGTTTACCCCCATTTCACCCTGTAGCTTTTGTTGCCCCATTTAAATGGTAATTGTGCATCTACAATATAGTGCCAGGTGTCACTCATTCTGGCCATAGTCCATTGAGAGCACTGCAAGCAATAGAGCTTTAATAAGTAGGAGTACTCCATTGGAATGGTTTCTTTGTTGCAGGATTTGTCTCTCTTTTTTTCATGTGTTCTTGTATGAATGCACTTTGATTACTCAGATTATATGTTTATTGCTAAATGAGTTTGAGTTTCACTGTGGTAACTTTAAATAAAAATAGATGTACATTTAGTACAGTTTTGTGTGCTATGTGAGTAAAACAACCACAGCATTTTGTGCTACGCCTTGTTTAGATTTCAAAAACCTGATCATGGAGTAGGGATAAGCACCAAATATATAGGGGCACAGTGATAACTGAAGCCTATTATGACTGGTAGGGCAGGCTAGACAGTGGAGAAGCCAAAGTCATCAGCAGGAGATAAAATACAGTCTTTTTTTGTCTTTTTCTTTCTCCATTGCAGGCACACTGCAATTAAAACTCTTTAACATTTAACTAACAGAAGAATGTTATTTATGTTGGCTCAATAGGCTTCCACAGTATCTTACTTGGTTATATGCTGACCAAAAAATTTGACCTTTGCCATCTTCTGTAGTATGAGAAGTAGCAGGCATAGTTGCAGCATGTTGCCACTGTCATCGGTTTAGATTATAAAGATGCATGCTGCATAGGCACATTGCCATTGGAACCTGGTTATTCTCAGGTTACAGATCTTCAATATTAATATGGCCCAGTATGATCAACTTGAAATAGTCACACTAATTTAACCAGTTTTTAATTAGAAACTGTAACTGGAAACAGTGCCACAGGCATATATCACCAATATAATAATAGATATATTATCTATTATGTAAAAAGAGCTGAGCAAAGGGCAATAACATAACCATTATTTTTTTCGTCAGTTGCTAGGAATTGTGCCTAGGAATTCTCTTTAGGAAGAACTTTCTACAGAAAGTCCAAAGCAACTAACACATTCAGTGATCACTTACCTAACATTGAAAGGCAAGGTCAGTGAAGATGGGCCTTGATCATTCTTTACAGTTCGCATGTGCAATAGAAGTACTTTAGCTCCATCATGCTAGGCCATATAGGATATGAAAAGTTAACTCCAGCACTTTTGAGTTGCGTTTGGAAACAGACTTATCTTGATGCAGTGCAAATTCTGGATGAAAGATTACATACAGTGGTGACGATTACCTCTTTAGATGATGATATTGCTTGACGATGAGTATTTTGCGATATGCCGCTTGACGATTACCTCTTTAGACGATATTGCTTGACGATGAGTATTTTGCGATCGCTATAACGATCGCAAAACGATATTTGTATGGGGAAAATCTGCTTGACGACGATCGGTTCCCTGCTTCGGAAACCGATTTTTCGCTAAACGATGAACTAAAAACAGCTGATTGGCGGCTCTCAAAATGGCTCCCAGCTGGTTTGCTGACTTCATTTCGCAAGACAGGGAGCAGAAAATGGCCGCCGTATTTCCCTCATTGGAATGTATTGACTGGTTTTCAATGCATTCCAATGGGTTTTTTGTTTGTTTTTTTTGGTTGACGACGATTTCGCTGTACAGCGATTTTGCTGAAATGGATTATCGTCGTTAAGCGGGGCACCACTGTATTTCAGTTCAGCTGTGGCTGCAGATCCCTGCCCTGAGTGGATAATTCAGATGAATGGTGATTACTAGATGCAGACCCCCATTGTCTTCGGGGCTTCATCCTCTTTCTTCCTTGTAGGCCTGTAGCATCTCTCAGTACCATCAAGTGGAATCAGCTGAGCCTGAGCATATATGCTCTTTTACTTATGAATCTACTACTTTTAGTGTTGAAATTGATCACCTGCAAGATAGAGTAGATCCATATAATATTATGCATAAATAAATTTATCAAATCATCCACTGAGAATTTCACATACCATGATAGGTATTCTGATTTCTAGAGGGGAGCACATTTGAAAAGAAGCACTTACTTCACTTGGTTCCTGTCAGCGAACAGAGAAAGTATAGGCAGTGATTTGTTCTTGTGATGTTCTATTAAGAATTTTAGCTGCTTGTCAGAGTTTGATGTGTCTGTGTTTTGGAATGTTTTGTTATTTGGCAACCAAGTTTGGGTTGTAAACAGCCTACCTTGCAGAGAATCAGCTGGGTTCTGCTGATTCCAAGCAAGCTACCTGCTGAAGGGCAGGCAAATGATCTATGATACATTAACAAAGAACAGTCTTCATGTGCTAATCATTGATTCTGCAGCTGCTAAACTGCGGTACAGAAATTAGCATGATCTCCCAAGCTTTAAATTGTGCTTACCTGTCATTCATCTCCATCTCCAAGAACTGCATGAATTCATACTACTTTGCCTTTTTAGATGGGTACTGGCCAAATTGGAAATGGATTTTGTGAAGCGCAGATTAGCTTTTTTTTTTTAGGTGCAGAACATGAAATCTGTTCTGATAGGTAAAGGTTCCCCTTGACATTTAGTCTAGTCGTTTCCGACTCTAGGGAGCGGCGCTCATCCCCGTCTCCAAGCCGTAGAGCCAGCGTTTGTCCGTAGACAGTTTCTGTGGTCATATGGCCAGCACAATTAGACACACACCGCTGTTACCTTCCCACCGTGGTGGTACCTATTTGTCTACTTGCATTTTTACATGCTTTCAAATTGCTAGGTTGGCAGGAGCTGGGACAAGTGATGGGAGCTCACTCCGTCGTGTGGATTCGATCTTACAATGGCTGGTCTTCTGACCTTGCAGCACAGAGGCTTCTGCAGTTTAACCCGCAGTGCCACCACATCCCCTTTTATTCTGATAGCAGCATGTTAAAAACACCAACATTCATTAACTAAACCCTTGGGAGGCCAGGATATCACTTTTTTTGGCAGTTCACAGCTTCATCTAATGCTGTAGCCCCTCAAAGCTATTTGATATGCACCATTATGGCCAATATCCTGCTTGGTTTTTCCACATGCACAACAGCTCTTTGTGCAGTCATCATTTTTCTGTCATTTGCACAAGAAGGAATTCTCTAAACTCTTATGCAAGTATGTCATGATCCCCACATTAGCCCCTGCTTGTTTCACCAAACTAAGAGCTCACGCTACGTGTCTTTCAGCTGCCACCAGCTGATTACATCAACATTGTTTAATATTAATAATAGAGCTCCAGGCAATGTGTCATTTTTAAAAGAACCAAATAGAAATTGTTTATTGTTACAGGTGTTGACAGAACAAGCACATGTTTAGCTCTGCTTTCAATACCATTATACCCCACAGATTAATAGTCCATGTTAACTCTTAAACAAAGATTCTCCTTTATCCACCACTCTCTTGTCCAAACTCCCAAAACTCTCTAAACTCCCAGTCTCCTCAACTAAAACTCCCCCCTCCTGCTGAGTCTCTTATATCTCGTGATTCCGCCCCTCCATCACTCCCATTGGTCTATGCAAATATCAGATTAATATTTATGACCTGGGTGGATGCCACAAAGAAAAATTCCCATTATGTCAAATGAGAGGAGCTCAGTCTTGCATAATAACTGCAAGCTGGAAATTGGAGAGGCAGATGTCAAATGCTTTAGCTGTGGAGCTGTTACCATCCATGTTTGCAAACAGGATATTCTGACCTCTACATTCTCAGCCTTATATTTTAGTTGGGAAGTGAGGGTGTGAAATGGACAGTCCCTTTGTCTTCTCCAACTATGCAGTTCTCACATGTGTACAGACTGTGATGTCTCTGATTTTGTTTTGAGATAAAACAAATCTGAAATACTATGATCGTAGGCATATATTTCAGTCATTTTCTGTGGAAGTCTATTGTCAACATGAAGTGACCAAGGGGAGAGCTATTTACTTTGTGCTGGATTGTGTGGAGAAATTTGGTATCCAAGAGTGTGGAATTAGTTTCCAAGTAACATCTGGTTTTGTATAGGGATACACCGAGAAGGAACTAACAATTGGTGATGGTGAATTTGTTGTAACAATGCAGTATGTAGCATGAGGTGTTGCTATTGCCTATAATATTTGAGCGTTTGCCTGTGTATCAAAGTCTCTTCCAAAAATAGGCAGTAAGCCAGTGTGGCAGTGTTGATAGATTGCTGGACTAGGACTTAGGAGACTGGGTTCAAATCCCTGCGTGCCCATGGAATCTCACTGGGGAGCAGCAGTGGCAAACCATTCCTTCAACATCTCAAGATACCTAAAAAGCCCATCTAGGGCTGCCTCAAGCTGGAAGCAACTTGGTGAATCAGAACAGCATCTTTAAAAAGAGGGTATGTTTGTTTGATGGACAAACATAAGCCGCACAAGATACTGTTACACAATCAATTTTATTTAATGACTGTGATCATTGCCCCTAAGAAGTTATATTCCATTTAAAGCTTGAGTCACAGTCACTTTTGACTTCCAAAGAAGTTATATTCCATTTAAATGTGTGTGTTAAGCTTGAGTCACAGTCACTTTTGACTTCCCTGGTCAGTGTCAGTAATTAAATCATACTTTGTTGAATTATTCTGACATTGTTGTCTAGTTGTATTTTCTGTATATACTGGTGTAATTTCTGCTCATTCAACAACACACTGAAATTCTGAGAAGCTATCTTTGTGTAGAATACGTTTTGCAATATGGCTCACCCTATTTTGCCTCTTATTTTAAAAAGATATCTACTACCTGTTTTTGTTGACCTTATTCATGGAGTCCATCATGTGACATTTGCCTCACCCCAGTCAAATATCATATATTGTTATTTGTTAATTCTTTGTCTTCTTAAATTTGTGATAAGGCAGTCTAGTAATGTAAGGACCTCATAACAGTGTTTCCTGTGTTGTGCTGTGTTTTCTTTTCTAATGCATGGATACACTTCTGTTTCTGCATGTTTGAGGATATCACAAATCATTTTTATGATGGAACTCGCAATTGCTAACGTGAGTGGGAAGGATAGAAAGTAATTGATGAAGCTTCTTTGTATCTGTGAGATGCTCTGCCTTCATTAGATTTTGTGATGGATAATGAATGACTTGGTCCTTGGGTCAACATGAAAGGTCACTTGAAGGTTTCCCAGCATGAACTGACAGCTGTGATGTATTGTGAAAATATGGTTTCTAACTCCTTCTGCAGTTTGGTGCAGTTTCTTGTGCTTTCTTTTAGAATGTTGTGATAGCACAAATCCTTAAAATAGGGTTAGCTGTGTTTTGTAGAATATCAGTACCTTTGATACTAGATGTAAGTCATGGTATCTTTGTTCTGTTTGCAGTTCTGTCAGATTGATGCATGGATGCAACAATAATGGTATCCTGCCTTAAATAGATACTGATGCTGCATCTGCATATTTGAGCTTCAGAGGTGAACAAAAGCACTTCAAATATTTGCTTTAATATTATCTTGCTCTTTTCCCCAGGTCTTCTCCAGGATTCTGACCATCCATACAGCAGATACGAGAATGAATGAAAACAGATAGTGCTTTGTCCTGTTTAAAAAAATGTGAAGGTTGCTTTCTTGTTTAATTTTTAGGTCTCCAAATATGTTTATAAATTCATAATAGAATATGTTGTTTGTTTTCTTTCTTCTGCTTTATTTGTCTTTACAATTCTAATATGGAATGCATTTTTTTAGAGTTTTCTTTAACATAATGTTATGTGGGGTACATAAAACGATCAGGTGATTTCCTCCTAAAATTATAAGGATTTATAAAACATCATCTTTCCCATGTTGCTAAATAAAAACACTCTCAAAATCTGTGGTTTAGTACATGTTGGCAAATATTTGACACTACAGATGTGTGGTAGCAAGTGATGACAAATTACAGCTTGCCAAACCTTCAAGACTGCTAATAGAATATGAGGGGTGGAAAAGAAAGAAAAATGACAATGTGCAATGGCTTCTTTGACTCTGAAGAAAGGCCAGATGGCTCCTGGTGTTGTGGAGCTAGTCGGTTATTTTCCTGCACCATTTTAGCTCAAGTATCTAGTTTCTTAATTGTTGCATACTTGTCCTTGCTGTTCTGTAATAGAATTTGCCCATTCCACTAGGTTTTCCTCTGTCACACATCACATTCCACTATATCTTCTATCAGTATTCAGTGTTTGAGCAAACAAAATCACTGTAGCTTATGGAGAGACTGCCCTGACAGCATAGGCTTGGAGAATTGTCAAGCCGAGGGTCCTACGTTGTGTTTATAACTGGCTTAATATTTTCATGATTATGGATATTCAGTAATGCTTGGATGTGTTACATTTCCCCCTGAGAAATCACTGTGAAAAACTCTAGGGAATACATAGGATTTGGAAAATTGTAGTACTGCCTTTTCACATATTTAATTACATTAATCATTTGGGTTATGCTTTTACCTGGTATCTGGTTAGTTCAGAACACATTCCTGAAATGTTTGTTTGCACGTAAGGTCTGTCTATAAAAAGGCTGGAGAGGACAGACAGTTGAGATCCAGATTCTAACAAAAAGTTTGGAGGCCATCTAAGGACATAGTGAAGGCAATTGGCTTATATGATATCAGTCGACATAATTTTGGTGTTAGCATCACAAGCTGCAGCTAAGTCATGAGATATTTGAACTGTATCTTGCTTGTGCACCTGCTTACATTGCAGAAGTATTTACTTTTTAAAAAATCCAGGAACAATGTCCCAATCAGGGCAGACGTCCAGTGAGGACTCCATAACCACAGAATATGGGATGAACAATTTCAACAGATGTGGGTCTCATTTTCATACATCTGTGGACTCAGTCTAGACTGCATCTGTACATTTTTCACAAAGCAAGGTTATGATAGTTTGCTTTACAGGGGAACTGTACTTCCTAGAGGGTTTCTGTAACATGAATCTCATTATCCATTCCCCCATCATTTACCCCATACACCACTTGGGAGGTATCCAGGAACTCTACATGGTGCAAAAACACAGTCTGGGAACACATGGAATCAGAGGTGACAGATCTATGTCTTTGGAAACTAGCTCCCACAGCTCTCGAGGCTGTTGTTGCTGTCTTGAGACTGTTAAGGATTATGCTCTAAAAATGTAAATTTCACCTCTACATGCAGTCTGTATATTACCCACCCATTACGTAAAATGGTCATTGGAAAAGGAAAAAAAGGGGAAGGAGAATTCCCTGGTAGGAGAGTGGAGCTCTGAACAGGTGCATTCTTCTCATTGGCAGAAGGATACACTGTGACTTGTCGGACTCACTGTTTCTGTCTATCTAATAAAGACATTTATTTTCTCGTATTAAACATCTAAAGTTATCTGGCAAACCTTTTTGAAAATGAACACATGAAGGAGCGTATCCTAACTCATCAATATAGTTTAGTTTTGCATTTTCTTTTAATTCACAGAGTAACCCTGAGTAAGAAGCTACCTGATGGCACATAACAATATTCTATGCATACTACTATATAATTTATTGATAAAGTTGCATTTTGTAGCTTTTCATTCTAGATACTTATGGAAGGTTTGAACGTCATCTGGAGCAATTTATTAGGAATGTGCCCTTCCAATAGCTGTCCTTAATTTATATGCACTTAAATATATGGTATATGCAAAGTTGTATCCAGTTGGTGTTATTCTGTTAGCGGAAAGTTCTGTCACTTCCTGGAGGTTTCTGTCGGTGGAATGGAAGGGGGGCAGTTTATGGTGGTACTGGCCTTTCCTGTGTCCTCCCAGTTTACTCTGGAGACTTGGGGGGAAAAAAGATGGAAAGCAATGTCACTTCCTTCTGCATGCTGCCAACAGAAAACTGCTGGATGAAAGAAACTTCTGTCAGACTAATAATTGTTTGCTAAATCCCTTGTCAAAGTGTGGAAAATGTACTGTCTTGAACGTCAGACTCCCCCAGGCAGTATGACCAGTCCCATAGTGCCTGAGGATTTCTAGGACTTGCCATCCCAAGAAAGTCACTTTTCTAGATTTTGCACAAGGAAACTTGTTTTATCATTGTTTCAGAAGTTTCATATATTTAACATGGATATTGTATTGGTTGAAAATATGATTTGTAAATATGTTGTAATTCATTTTAACTGGTTGTTTTCATTGTTTTCTATCTGTCTTGTTTTTATGTTTTTTCTGTCTTGTGCGTTATATTTTACTATGTTGGTACTATTGCTCACCGCCTTGAGCATTACTTGTTGGAAAGGCATAATGCAAGTTTAGCAAATAAATAAACAAAATTAAAAGCCTGTAATCTGGGTTATTTATTCTTGAAATCCATGGGTTGGATCTCTAGGTCTCTTCTGCCAAGACAAAGGGTCTTCACTGGAGAAAGGCCCTTTGCCTCACCTATTATGCTATCCATCATGAGCATTCAAGGCTCTTATATCTGCCTGTAAGATCTGTTGCTTGTGAAATTCTGTTCCACTTCATACCATAAAGTCTCATTACAATTCTTTAAGCAAGTCTTAAACACTCACGGTTGCTTATAATTGAGGGAGAACGTCCCTGGAACTATTGGATGCAATGCTGTTTGATTTTAATTCTTATTGTCTGTCTTTTATTATTTTTACAGTGTTTTAAATGGCAGATTGTAATTCTTTTAAACCAGAGGCAAAGAGCAGCTTTCCAGATGGTACTGAACTACAGTTCATATCAGTCTTAAGCTAGTATTGTCAATGGTGAGGAATGCTAGGAGTTTCAGTTCAATGAAGCTGGGAATCCTGCATCTTACACACCACTATTTTAAACAAGGACAACAAATAATAAATAGCAAAGTTCCCCATATGCAAAAAAAAATACTTCCTCTTTGTTTTCCATGAACAGAATTACTGAAGGAATACTCCTGCTGGACACTGTTTAGATCTATGTCAGTGATTGTGTTCTCAGTAATCATAGCTGGGATTGTTAAGTGAATGTACATCTATAATGAGAATTTCCACCCCTGTTCATTATGTGCTCCAGAAGCATAAAAATAATGCTGGGTTTGCTTTTCTCTCATCAGTTGTAAAAACCTCTGGGAGATGTCTTTCACCTGAGCAATATATTTTCTATGTGTGACAGTTACTTCAGAACATAGATGCATTTTAAGTGCCATTGTCAATACTCTGAAATAGTTTGACCTTTCTAAGAGTGTTCTTTTGAGGGAAGATGGGAAGTTTTGGTAGAACAAAACAGAATAGATTTTTTTTGTTAAATAGTGCTAATGGGTAGGTTGCTCAAACACAATTGTGGGGAGGGATAACACACATAATTTCAAGCAATGAAGAGATATTGTGTGTAAATTATTGTTGCATAAGCTGCTGTTGCCTGGGGAAAGAAGGGGACTTCGTGTTTTCTGAGTTGGCTAAAAATAGCATATCTAATTTGGTTATGGGCACATTTTAATTTGTCAAGTACTGAGTTGCAGTGGCTAGAATTAATAGCCCGCAGTGTAGAATCTTCATAGATGTATGAAACAAATTGGTTTTTAACCCTTTTTTTCAAAAAAAAAAAATCTTAGTTTGCACAGAACAAACTGATGGTTAACCTTGTACTTCAACTGGATTTTACAGCCATTTTTGGCAGTTCCAGCAATATGACAGCTTCTTACATCAGAGCAACTGAGGTTAGTATTTGCTTCTTACTCTCTGCATCAACTCAGGTAACATGAATCTGTGATTCCCAACCTGGGGTACGGACCAGGACATTTAAGGGTATGTGGGGGGGAAATCGAATAATGGCAGGAAAAGGCACACACACAGGCAGTGTAAGATAAGAGAACACTCAAAGCTTCTGTGGATCAAAGTCCATTTCTGCAAATCCCCTCCAAGCAAAACAGCACCTCCAACCATTGACTGACTGACTGAGGAGAGCAAACCATAGAGTCCGACTCACTACTCCCAGATGTCTCCAGGGAGGGGGGAAGAGAGGAAGGCTGCATTTGCACAGGGCTGTCTTGTTTCCCATTGGTGAGGTGGAAGAAAGCGTAGAGATATGAAACATGGGGAACCTACTTTCTGGAAATGGAACTTCCTGGTTTATTATTATTATTGCAAAAGCTACACTTTAAAGGAGATATTTTGCTAATTTGAGGGTATAATTTATGGATGCCAAGGTGTACACAAAGAGGTTTGGATCTTCTGGCATAAATGAAGAAAGAGCAGCATCCACTACCGCGCAATAAAAATGTTCATCTGTCTTAGATACAGGGTATAATTTATGGATACCAAGGTGTACACAAAAAAGGTTTGGATCTTCTGGCATAAATCAAGAAACAGCAGCATCCACTACCGTGCAATAAAAATGTTCATCTGTCTTAGATACTGTGGCCTACAGCCAATTTCCTTCCAGCTATCATTAAAGACTGCTTTAACCTAGAGGTGGGAGAACAGGGGCTGTCAGCCTATCCTTAAAAGCCCTTTGGAAACACTAAGTTCAGGCCTCTAGCAAGAGTGATCTGTCCATCAGCTGGGTAGCCCACTGCCTGTGGGGAAAGAGAAGCAAATCCAGGATGGAGAAAAGAGCAAGTGTCGTTTTCTGTACCTCATGTCAAAAAGGGGGAGATGGGAGAAAAGAAAAAGATTATTTGTGGTGCTTTAATCATTGCAGAGTGAGGGTGGATGGCGTGTTGCTCCCCAGATGATGTTGGGAGTGCAAATCTTACTGGCTTTAGCCAGCACAAACAATGGTGAGGAGTGCAAGGCTACACTTTCCTAGAAACTTTATGGAAACCTTCTCCAGCCTGGTATCTTCCAGATTTCTTTGACTAGGACATTTATGAGCTGCCCTGGCTGAAGAGCGTTGGACTAGAAAATAGGTATTGACAGTCTTCCAGTGACAGAGTCAGATGGTTAATCCATTCTGACTTCAAAGCATAATGTGTGAATCTGCAAGTCTCTTTTCCTACCACATTTGAAGCCCAGGTGATTTCTATGCATATCATCCTCCCTTTGTCTCTCTTTGTTTAGCTTCCCATCTTTTCTCTTCAAAACCTGTGTTACCATTCTTCCTTATGACCTCCTTCTCAATTTGACTCAGCTAGATTGCCTACAAATAGGAAACAGGCTGGTCATCCTTCAGCATTACTTGTGAGTTTTGATTGCAGTGATTCCCAGTGCCTCTCCTCTATATGTCTTTTTGTTCCATTTTTGAAAGCAACTGTGGACATGCATTGGAATCCAGGAAAGAAAGGTAGTATTGGAAGCATAGCTTATTGTGTTTCTTTATTTCTATCCTTTGTCTCAGACATCCAAACCCACTCAAATGGAGGAGTATATTCTCCTTCGAATCTGTGTGTTATGTAGTGACTGTTTATTGTCTGTATTTCTCCATAATTGTTGGACTGTTAGCAATGAGAGATGGTGGGAGTTTTAGCCAAAATATCCACAAGGACACATGTTCCTCAACTATGTTCTTGTAATGACAGTAGTGGTGAACCTCACTGTGAAACACAAGTAGTCTTACATTGCTCTTTTCGTGGAAAAATCCAGCTATATTGCAGATGGTCTGCAATTCTGCATGTAATTTGAGAAGCAGTCATTGGTAGACCGATAAAGCCAGAAAAATGCTCTGCAATCTGGTACAAACTGTTGTTTAAATGATCTCTGCTCCACTCAGAGAAGCTACTTCAAAATTATCGGTGGCTTGCCATACAGATATTTAATATGCCTTCTGTGAATTGCTGGAGGGGTCATAAAACGTTCGTATATAGTGTTACTGGTTCTATGGCTTTGGCATTGGGATTTGGGACTTTGTTTTTAACAAAATTATATAAAATTAGCATTTAATCCATGGTGGCACACCTGAATTTCTGAGATTTATTGCATAAAGATTTATGCTACAGTCCTGTTCACTTCTAACATAAATATCTAGGCTGAAGTTCTATCGGTGTTTATTTTGGAGTAAGACCCATTGAATTCAACTGGATTTACTTTTGAAGACATGTACGATTGCATGATTTTCCCTTTGGTCAGTTTGCAGCTGCTAGGTCAGAATTTGTGCAGCACTAGAAAAATTGGAAAACAGATTAAGCACCTCATGTCTGTGAGGGAAGGGTTGTGTAACTACAGCAAACCTGCATGTCCAAGTCGGCTCTCCAAGGAGTTGGCCAAATCTTAAGCCATCTAAAAGAAAAAAAGCATCCATTAGTATATTTACTTGGCAACACGTCTCCTCTTTTGTTGCAAGTTCCTATTAAATATGCTGTTTACAGGTCTAATTGCTTTTCTTCTGATAGGTGTTTTTCTACTTTTCTAGAATGAAAACATTTAACTCTAAGTGGTATGTAATTGCATGTGTTTTGGAATAGCTGTCACAGATTTTTGTTCTTTTTTTTCAAAGAGAGAGAGTGCTGGGTGTACTTACGTATTTTAACCCTCATATTAAGTATGTGTAAAACAGGATACTAAACCACCTCCCATTTTGTTCTTCAATGTTTTGTTTCCACAGTTTTAGGAATAATAGGGAAATAAAACTTCTCAGAAGTCAGTATAGCTATGTCACCATTTTAGGCTTCCCCTTACAAACTGAGTGTCATATGCTAGAACTTATCAAAGAAGTAAGTCTACATCTGTGGACTTGATACCCATTCACTTTGGTTCTTTGACATAGGGAGCTTCTGGATTCATCAAATTTGCAAGAAATTTTATAAGACACAGTTTTCCTTATCTCCTGCTCTTGGGCTCCTCCTCACTGATGAAAATGGGTCAGCAGCACAATTCATAGGTCATCCATTACTTCAGGGTTGAGGATTTTGTCACCTTCCAAGCAAACTTCATTTTCTATAAACCCCAGCTAGCCTGCTCAGCGATGATGTATGATGCGAGTCAGAGTTTGTCAATGTCTACTAGAGGGCCAAAAATTCTCTCACTGCAGGTTTGTTTACTTCTGACCTGCTTTTCACCCAGATTGTTTACCATGGGATACATGCTTTTTCTGCAACTTTCCTCATCCCGTTCTTATACCAACCCAAAGAGATACATTTTGGTTGAGAGATACAAATGGGCCCTCAAGACCACTCACTGGAGCTGCATAGCTAAGAGGCAATTTGATCTTCCTAGCTGAAGCCCAACTATTGCCCCTTACTACACCCGCCTGTGTCCATAGCATGATCTACCTGACTTTTCTTTTTTTGGAAAGGATTGGGGCAAGGGCCACTCCAAACTTTATTTGTCAAATGACAAGTTGACCATCAAATGCAATCGCCTCTACAGTTTCCAAAGCTGAGACCTGAGGAGGATCCTAAGACCCACCTCCATTTTTGTGCGGACAGCA